TGCAGGTGGCTCCAGAGGAGATTTGTGCAGGAGATTCTTGAAAACAGGTTAGCTTAACAGCAATCTCCATGCTTCCTAGAAAGCACAGAGTAGGATCCTGGTAGCATGCATGCATTAACACAAAGAAAATCTATGAGACTTGCATACAAGAATTCATCTAGGCAGAGGGCTCCCTCTGTGCACAGCATCCAAAAGTTTTTTCATAGTGCCATGTAATGATTGTGCATGCAGTAAATCCTATGATTTCCTTTCCTTGAGGCTCTTGTGACTCTTTCAGAGGACCTGTGTCTGAAGTGCAGAGCCCAGGCACTGTGGTAAAGTTAAGGGGATATTAATTGGGTTCACATAGATTTGATTGCCGGGTGGCTTTGCTTTTTATTGGCTCCATTGGGTTCTGGGTTCTGACTATGCGGAAGGTTGCTTCCCAAAAACTGTAATTCTTCAAACACATCCAGCATATCCATCCTCCAGGAATTGCATAAATCCCAGCCCCATGCCAGAATGGTGAGTGGTTTGCAACACAGCATGGGCTTGACTTCCATCTGGATTCCTGCAGTTCTTTACTTGCAGGGAAACCTTAAAATCAAGGGATAGGGGAGGGTAAGTGCAGATCAGCAAGGAACTCCAGGCTCTGGTCGCCAAACCTCCTTCATGCTTCAAAAGATCCTGCACCAGCGGCCTGGTACCTGCCTCAGGTTGTTATAGGCACTTTTCAGTGGCAACTGCCATCGCCTCTCGAATCTTGGTTCTCTCTCTCAGTCTGTCATGCATGCAGGGAGAGAGATACACCCTCTCTCTCCCTGCATTCGAATAAAGCTTCTCAATATTAAAAACTAGCAAGTTCACAGAAAACAAGGACTTAATCCAGGATGTTTCTGAGGGAAACCTGTTTGAAGGGAGGAAGATGGAAACAAAAACTTCTGTGCCAAAATTAAAGGCATTGCCCAACCTTAGTTTGGGACAGTCTCCAGGGTAAATACAGAGAAACCTGCATTCCCCAGGGCTGCTGAAGCATCCACAAAGCTGGTTTGTGAAAAGGAACGTGCTGCCTGCCGTTGTTTTGCTGGCTAAATGGGGAGACTCATGGTTGACAGCCCAGAGGTCACAACTTTGAGGCCAAAGCAGAAGCACTCATTGGCATGGCCTCTCAAGTTCCAGTGAATCTGAATTCTGCTAAATAACCTGTCACAGACACAAAGAAGGAAAGGAAGCTGGCTGACTACCAAGTCCTTGCTATGGTTCACTTGCCACTACTCAGAAGTTCTTTTCCTCTGGGAGAGAAACAGTTTAGACCCCCTCTCCTGTCCTGTCCTGCGTTGCCTCCCCACCCTCCAGCAGCCAGAGCTGCCCTGTTTCTGGGAAGAGCTGTAAAACCACTTTCTGCTTCCTCCCCACTCATGAGACCCCTCTACAGAGCATCCAGTTTAGGATTTGGGGGAAGGTCCCCTAGAAGATAGGGGAACTTCACATATTACTAAACAAGAACAAAGGACCACACCAGCTGTAAAGCATTACCACTCTCCCGTGCAGCAGGAGCTGCAGTTGCTTGCACTGAAGCCTATCCATAATTGGCAACATTTTGAAAAGTATCTGAAAAGTTAACTCTTCAAACAAACTATGGCATTGAGGCTGCTGAGCTTCTGGCCGCTGCATTGTGATGCTGGGCCTTGGGAGAGTGAGTGGCTCCCAGGGTGAGTAACTCTGGCCACCCCTGCTCTAGAGGAAGATACAAGAAAGCCCATAGAAGAGACTTACAGAAGAGCCTGCCCACAGAAGATCTTTCTTTCATAGTTTCATAGTTGTTAGGGTCAGAAGGGACCTATGAGATCATCAAGTCTGACCCCCTGCCCTGGGCAGGAAAGAGCTCTGGGGTCAGGTGACCCCAGCCAGGTGTCTGCCCAATCTCCTTTTAAACACCTCCAAGGAAGGGGACAACACCACCTCCCTTGGAAGCCTGTTCCATATTTTGGCAACCCTCACCGTAAATAATTTTTTCCTGATGTCCAATCTGAATTTGCTCTCTTCCAGTTTGTGGCCATTATTTCTAGTTACTCCGACAGGCACCCAGGTAAACGGTATCCCCTATTTCTTGCTGCCCCCCCCCCCCCCA